CGCACCGATTAAAATCTCATGGTGTTCCACCTTCGCCGCATATTGGCCGGGCCACGGGAACGCTTTCGCACACAATAGCGACCCCACCAGTGCCGGCCGCACCATGACAGCCCTTCCTCGGGGAAGTACTTCCCCTTCCCCTTTTCTTTCTCAGGTAAGATCTAGCAAGAGCAACCGGCTTTAAGCTTTAATACATTTCAGGTGCTTGGACTTCGGTGAAGGAAAAATGTGCGTTCTGTTCTTGTCACGGCTGTTGTCTCTGCTCAACGAACGGCTACGCCCTGCCCGAAGAGAGTTCGGATACTCGTCGCTGTAGTATGCGCGATTTTGACGAGCGTGTGCAGACAGACTGCAACACTATGAAAATTATGTACAATAAACTTTGATAACGCTGATTTGGCAGGTCTTTATTGTATTCCTACTTAAAGTAATATCAAAGTAGCGATTGCTGATCATGAGGTCCCAAGTTCGATTCCCGGTTTGGCAATGTCAGTTAACCGATTTTTATGTCAAGAAATTCTCAGTAGCAGCGAATAAAATAAAGTCAACGTCCTGGCTTTGTTTTATTCACCCCCGTACCTCGAATAGCACATAAAGCCGTTGGTTCGGCGCATGATCTCCATCCGGTTCTGTTGGACTACTGTTGGGCAATAGAGAGTGCAAATGTGTTTGCGCATACACTCGGGCACTATAATCCTGTCATGTGCAGATGATTAGCCTCCGTTGAGACTGGCCACCGTAACCGCAATTCGGCCTGGAGGACATTTCATTAGCTCATGTAGCCACATATTGTCCCATGGCTGTCGTCGTTAGAAGCGATGGATAGCAGAGTTTTTATAATAACAATAAAAAATAAACAAAAACTGGAACCATCGAGAAAGCAGTACTACCGTAGATATACTGCGTGAAGACCACCACTGCGCATTGGAATGGAATCTGCCGTTAGTGGTGGCGTTAGAAAATCCTCTAGCCCATATTTAGAAGCTCTAAGATTCCATATCATCCCGACAGTATCGTAAGAGGCAATAGAGGAAAATGTAACATGAATAAGGCAACAATATCTTCCTGATAACAACGCAAAATTATAAATAAGAAACATAGAATACTATAATACACAATAGAATGGCTGTCAATCTTATTTTGTACGAGGATTGGTGTCGCCGGGAGCACACGTACAAGCAATTAGGCTCGTATTATCACTACATTACTACAAACCCGAATTCACATATTTTAGACTTTTGACTTTATTTTTGTTTCTAATATTTACAAAATATAAATAGTTTCGACTTACTGGTTTTATGATATGTCTCTTTTATTTAAACTCCACTTTTTTCTTTCTTACGACACATAATTATTGCACAATTTGCCATTTTTTTAAACAATTTGCATACAGCAACGCTTGACACGAAAGTTGAAAACGACCGATTGTGTTGACATTTATATGTGTGAATTGACATGTTAGTGACATGTTAGTGGCTACACAGGCAGCACGGGCCCCGCCCACTCCCCCATTCTATTGTGTATGTTTTACAGTATTCTATGATCAGAAGTCCCATGAAGTGGTTTTAGCTGTGTAGTGTCGGTGTAAGAATACCCACTACCCCATATCATCCCGTGGGTGTCGTAACAGGCGACAGAGGGAAACAAATCAGGAGATGGGTAGCGGCGCCTTCCTTATAAGGACTAAAAATAAAAAACTGCGGTCCTATGAGACAATCTATGGGGAGGCCTATGTTGGCCTATGTATGTCCACTGCTGGACTTTAATAGGCTATAAAGGTAACGGTAACGGTAATATGAATTAGATTAGAAATTGTTTAACCAAACTACGAATATTCCTAAAAATTTAGAAGTTAAAAGAAAAGTAAAAACTGTGTAACAAGAGATAATACAGCACTGAGGCATTGTTTTGTGTATCATATAGTAGGGACCAACACAGCATTGTGAATTGCCATACGTGCCTTTTTTGACACATTTTGACTCTTCATAATAGAGTGCAGGGCTCCATTTACTCTGTTTCCTGCGTTCACTCGTCGTTCTATATCCTTATTATATCTCCCATCCCTGCTAAATACGCAACCCAAATATACAAACTCATCTACTTGCTCGATCAACTCCCCTTCTATTCTTACGAGTATTTCACATATCGTTTTACTTTCATCTCTTTCAAAAACCATAATTTTTGTCTTACTTGCGTTCACTTTCATACCCCTTTCTTTTAATGATCTGTTCATTAATGTAACCATCATTTGCAACTCAACCGCCGACGACGCAAGAATAACTTGATCATCGGCGTACAAAAGGCATTTGATGGTTAACTCACCCATTCTTAATCCGCATTCTTCAACTTTCAAATTTTGCAAACAACTGTCCATAAATAGGTTGAACAACCACGGGGAAGCCACACAGCCCTCAGTCTGACACCTTTATGGATGCCAAACCAGTCCGAGTAGACCCCGTTGATCCTAACATAAGCACTAGAGTCCCTATAAAGAGATTCCAATGCCTGTATCAAGCCAGCGCTCAACCCAAATGAGTTCAGTGTCTGCCATAGTACATTCCTATCCACTCTGTCATAGGCCTTCTCCAAGTCCATGAACGCACAAAAAACCTTTTGGTTTTTGGCCAAAAACTTCTCCGCGATCATGCGCATGGAGAAGACTTGATCTGTACATCCCATTCCCTTTCTAAATCCCGCTTGCACATCCCAAATTTTTCCATCGGTTTCTTTCATGACCCTTTCAATTAGTACCTTGGCATACAGTTTTCCCACGATGCTAAGAAGGCTGATACCGCGGTAGTTTTTACAGTCCTGCTGCGACCCTTTTCCCTTATATACTGGGACTATCACGGCTTTGCACCAGTCTCCCGGTACCCGCTTCAGTTCCCAGCATAAATTAAACAAGGTGTGCAGCAGGCCTGCCACCACTTCTTCTCCAGCCCTTAGCATTTCGAGTGAAACTCTATCATATCCGGCAGCCTTACCTGCTTTCATGCTTTTCATTGCTTTCATTATTTCATCTATACTTATCTCGCTACCTCCTTCCTCTTCTTTCGGAGTTCCTATTTCATTCAGTTCATACGTTGTCTCCTCACTCATAAACATGCTTTCAAAATATTCCTTCCATCTCTTTAAACTCAAAACTTCATCATTCAGAATATAGCCATTCTCATCTCTTATAGCATTCATTATAGGCTGTTTTGAACATCCCCTGGCAGTTCTTACGAGTTTCCAGAACATTTTAATATTTGCCTGGAAGTTATCCGATATTCTTCTATCATTCTTATCCGTTCTTTCTTGCTTTTTCCTTTCAACTACTTCTTTTACTCTTTTATTTAGATGTCTAAAGACTGCCTTTTTTCTTTCAAAATCATCATTCGTACCGCTAGAATTACCAGCCTTAGTTGCTAGTAAATCTAGCCATGCTCTCTTCTTTGCTTCAACTTCCGTACGTATCTCATCATCCCACCATAACGTATTATTTTTCCTTTCATTCTTTCTTTTACTAACACCACATACTTCGGTAGCTGCATCTACTAAACCTTTCTTAACATTTTGCCATACATTCTCCATGTCTAACTCATTCATACATAATTCATCCAAACCACTTACGTTTTCTTTCAGTCTACATTTAAACTTGTTTTTCTCACCTTCATCTTGTAATCTTTCTGTTCTAATACGCTGTAACGCAGTGGTAGACACAGATGACCGATGGCGCCACCGCCTGAATAGACCATTAATTCGGTATAAAACTAAAAAATGATCCGTTCCTACGTTTAACCCCCGGTAAACCCTTGTATCCACCACTGCGCCCCTCAATCTTTCATCCACAATTGTGAAATCTATCATGCTTCTATCATCACCTCTTTCCCAAGTGTACATGTGAATCCTCTTGTGGCGAAAGAAAGTGTTCGTCACAAAAAGATTCTTTTCCATACATACAGTGTATGGAAAAGAATTTTATTTTATATTATTCTTTTCCATGTATACAGTATCTAATTTAGTTTTTGGAATATTTTGTACTTCTGCAGCTATCGATATCTTTCATCACGAACCGCTGTAAACAAACGATACAGTAATGCACTTACGACGGCGGTCGATTCTGCAGTTAGTCAGTGTATAGGTATCTGTATTTAGTAAAATATTTCAAGGCCAACACCGAAAATTTCGATTTTCTCAGCCGAAAAAATTGAATTCCAACTAAATGAAATAAAATTAAACAGCCATTTATAATCCATGGCTGCTCACATGGTAGATGAATAGATTAAAAAATAGATTTAGTTGAACAATTGATATTTGAAAAATTTTTCGTGTTTACCCCTCCATGCGGACGTGATATATCTACACTACAAGCCACTAAAACCAATTTTTTATATCAATACTTCGATTTAAAAAAAATAATAATAAGTTCAACAATAATTTATCTTTCCGGCAATGTGCTTTTTATTTCATTTATATGTTCATTAAGATTGTTAGATACGATTCCATGCGACAAAACGTTGGATTCTTTGATTATATTATATAATCAAAGGTTAGGTTCTTGATTTTAGGCGCTAGTAGAACATAACTACGCGTTTTTCGCTTCGTGCATCCAATAGATCGCTATTTATTTTCATAGATCTATATCCATCTCTGTCTATGGACACAGCATTCACTGATGATATAAATATAATATTTTAATTTCATAGATTTTATTTAACAATGTACTGTATTACATAATTTTCTTTATTCAATTTACACAACAAATAATTTAAAAAACGATTACATGTAACATCTTTAAATTATTTTATTAAGATTGCACACCAAAATCTAAGGGAAAGTTACTCTAGTGGAGTGTTTCGCTTCACTTCATCGTCGCAGAGTAGACTGTATGGGTTCTTCTCGCAGATGAAGGTGTAATTTATTTCACACCAGATGTCGTCCAAATGCGCTGACCGGAACACTGCGCCGCAAAACTGACCATTTGTTGCGTTGCTGGGCTCACCGTCTTTGAACTAATCTTATCCAGATTCTTTGAGCGTTTCACCTAATAGAATAGAATAGGATAGAATAGTTTTTATTCAAAATAAATTACAAGTCACACTTTTTAACGTGACAGAGGCACGCTGCAGCTATAGTGTCGTTGTAGTACGAATTGGTTACCTCGACTGGGGTAGGAACATTGCTGCTATTGAAGTAGCAGCTCATTGTGTTTCGTATGGTGAGTGTAGAGAACCGGAGACTGATTTTCTTGGAAACGAGGCATTCAATCTTAGTCCTCAGGGGTTTCTAAATATTTTTATATTTAATTGTACCACATTATAAGATATTATTTAAATAAGTTTCATCTTTCATCATAATTAAGTTAAGTTCTAGCTGGTTCTTCCCAAAACAGAGGTTTTTTCCCGGGCCAATAGCCTTGGATTACGTTTTTTAATATAGTAACCAAATAAGGGTGTGTGGTCAAAACTGTTCCTCTAATGTTAAGTGAATACTGTAGCCCTCGGATACGTACATCTATCATTGTTTTCAGGGGGATTGTGTTTTGGTTGTTAGTCGCATGCGCTGTTACACATTAAGAATCGAAATAAAGTACTAAGATAGAATGTCTAATTATCTATTAAAAGGGTTCGAATTTTTTTTCTCTACACTCACTATACGAAATATAACAAAACTGTGCCTGCCAACCCACTCACTAAGCGGAGTAACTATAGCTAATATTACCCCTATGAGACAATCTGTGGGGGAAGTCCATTCTATTCAGCAGTGGACTTTTAACAGGTAGAGGTTTTGAGCAGCAGCGTTGCCTTTGCAAGTGTTTTGTCATTACAACCTACCTATTCAGCATGGTCATCATCGGTAAATTCTTTTTTTCTTTTCACGTTCAGTTGTTGACTCAGTGGCGTAGTATGGGTATATAGCTAGCCGCTGGGTCAAAAATGCCGAATGTCGTCAGCCCATTTTCCGGAGCATCTCAAAAATATGAAATCTTAAAAAAGATTACAAAATGTATTTTTTACACTTATTACCCTTACAACCGACTCTTTTATCAGGTGTTAAGACATGCAGGAAGTCCATGGAGGCAGGTGGCTCAGGATCTTGCTTTTTGGCATTGCTTGGGGGAGGACTATATTCAACCGTGGACATGTGATGGGCTGTAATGATTACATTTTGCACAGTGTATGTGCGCAGTTAAGCAAGATCTATTTTTAGATTTATTGAGATTTTCACTAGCATCATTTAAAAATAAGGCGGGTGACCTTTGCGGCTAATTTTAAATCTGCCATACGGGATCATGGGCCCAGCCCTCTTGCTACGCTACTGTTTACCAGTAGACTAAAAAAGGGAGATAAAGAAATCGAAAAAATTACCATGAATAGTCAACCATTCCCCGTGTTCCTTCCAATCGTGGAAACCGACGAGGGCAGCGTCCTTCCAGAAATTCCCTTGCAGAGAGTCAGACGGGTGCTCCGCGAATATTTCCTTGATCACTTGCGCCTCTACCTCGCTGTTGATGATGGCCAAGTAGCCACCTTCGGCCGCACAGGTCATGTATGCACGGGACCAAGTGCGCGGCACGGTGTGGAATTTGTAACAGCTGCCAGTACGCGAGTCGAACACGTATTCTGAAAGACGAAACCGATTGATCTTTGTATCTGTTAGTGGCAAGACTAAGTCAGTTAAAATGGGGCGAGTATACTTGTCTACAGAACATCAGCTTGAAATAGCAACATATTACTGCTGTACTTCGCATTGTGAGGTGAATCGTTACTGTTAACGAGGTATTCCATTTTACTCCTCAGTAACAATGTATCTGTATTTTGATCCTTCGACAATAGATGTATGATATGAAACCTGATGATTCATATTATATATAGAAAAGAATAGAATATATTTAAATCCTACGGATTAAAAATAGTTTTTATTGAAATTCTTTTTTATTTGACCACTACTCAGTTCGCAAAAGAAACTTCTGTCGTGGGAAGAACCAGCCAGAAACTCGGCGAGATTTTTTGACGTAAATACGTCTTTAAATTTGCTTCCGTACTGAGAGGCAATTCGAAAAAACTGATAAAATCGGGGTTTGGTGTTGCAGCTTCGTATGATAGATACGAAGCTGCATCTACATCCAAAATTTAACACGATGTGTTAATAACTAAATTTTAACGAATTTTTTATCCTTTAACTATCGAGTTAAAGGATCAAAAATTCGTTACGTCGAGTGAGGAATGTAACCTTATAATATACAAAAGCAAGCAAGTTTTTTTTAACTTTTTTAGTCTATTAAATGTCTGTGGGCCTGAACATCCACTTACCATCAGATTAACTGTGTGCTTTTTGTAACCATTATAATATAAAAAAAGAAATGAAGATTTTTTCGATGGGCTGGAGCCTACGCTTGAGTATCCCTGTATTTTAGCACCCAGGAGGTTCTTTTAAGAACATCAGGAGCTCAATATTGGACATGAATCTCTCTCGTTGTCGAGAGAATTTTGAAAAACTTCGAATTTAAAGCGACACTAAAAAGAGAAAAACATAAATATCAATAAGATTTAGCCTGCGAGAGAATGAGATAGAATACAATATACAGTGTTTTCTATTATCTCGATCTCCTTTTCTAAAGGTTTCACCTCTAAAACGTATGAATAGTACACATTATTTTTCTTAATCGCTACGCTTAGTTAGATTTCGACGGCTCCGTGGGGCAGTGGCTTAACAATTAGTTACAGCGCTAAGGGCCGCGGGTTCGAATCCCGCATGGAACAAGTAATGCTATGGCCTACAAGTAATTGTTCCGGGTCTGGATGTTTGTCCTTGTGAAATTTATGTTTGTAAACTGCCCCCACGATACAGGAGAAAATCCTAGTGGTGAGGTAACGTTTAAAGAAAAATAATAAAAAAAGATTGCCGTTTGCAGTGGATACCACGTCTCACACCAATGATGTAGCTGTCCACCGATCTGGGTATAACGAGATATAGCGCCATCTAATAGAAGGCATGGAATATTTTTGGTATTTCCTATAGCTATCATACGACACCCACGGGACAAAATGAGGCGATGGATTTCTTACTCCGCCATCACACGCCAAAAGATCCTCTTTTAGTAGTTAAGTTAGGAGAGCATTTTACCCTTATCCGTGGTGCCACAGCGATTATTAAACACTATTTTAGTATGTTTCTTGTAACAGAAGTATGGAAGACGCTCGTGACAGTTCACGTCGGCCACGTTGCCAAGCGGAAGCATAGCTATGCAGCTCTCTTCGTCCTTGATATTGTCCGGCTCACCCAAGGCCCAAGTGTGAGGAATCTTCCAAAGAGGAAATCCTGAAAACGTAGATAGATATATTATAGACGTAGATTCTCTTTATTGTTAACATGTTATATTATATACTATATAAACTAGTCTAGCTGTTTCATTCAACGCTGGTAAGAGTTCTTATCATTTTGATAGCATATGCTGCAGAACAAAGTATGCAAGCTAATTTTGATATATGGCCCAGCCCATTGAAGCTTTTTGTCTAGTGTGTCCAAGCAAAATAGTGGCATCAACAAGACTCAGCTCATCCCCATTTTAAATTACTTTAGTAATAGGTCCTTACATATTATGAAATTGGCGTTTTGTACGGGAGGAATATGATTTTTTTGTAAAATATATTTAATTAATCAAAGTGTGCACCAATGCTATCTAAAAAACCATAGGGGCGAGAATCAATAAACTCTTTGAAGGCGGTTTGGACTGCCGCATCGGAGTCGAATTTTTTTCCTTGTAAGAAGTTGTCCGAATTCCGAAAAAATGGTAATCTGTTTAGTGGTCGTTTGTTGTGCAGTGTGTGGTCTTGCGTTGTTGAAAAGCAGCAGTGGCCTAGAGAGATTGACCAATCTCGGTTGTTTAGCAGCTAGTTCTTCCTTCATGGTTTGCAGTTGCTGACAATAGGTATCTGCCGTAATCGTTTGGCCAGATTTTAGAAAGTTTTAGTAAACGACACCGGCGCTAGTCCACCAAATACTCACGAGTATTTGGTGGACTGAGTCAATTTTCGTTTAGTACAGGATTTGGCTGGGATCAGGGTTCTGCCATTGCGACGAGCGCTTCCGATTATCGTACAGTATCCACTATTCATCACAAGTAATGGATTGGAAAATTCGATTTAAAACCCTTCATTTTTGTGTCGGTGAGCAAAGTAACACAGCTGTCGACACGTGTTTGCAAGTTTGATTCACTCAATTCATGAGGTACCCATAGTTCAAGTTTTTATACTTTCCCGGTTTACTTCAAGTGGATTAAAACAGTTTTATCACTCACCCCGAAGCATGCAGCTATCTTTGAAATGCTTTGTGATGGATCCGCTTCCACAATAGCCTTTAATTCTTCATTTTCCGCTTTGGTCTCCGGCCGTCCACGGGTTTGGTTCTGAAGGTTAAAATTTCCAGAACGAAAACCTTGAAACCAAAAACGTACCGTGCTTTTTTTACGACACCAACGCCGTACACATCCTTAATCCTTCGAGCTATTTCTGCAGCACTGGTGCCACGGTAGAACTCGTATTTGTAAATATGCCGATATTTCATGCTTTCCATTGTGCGGTAATATGCGACGCCAAAGGAAAAAAATTATGAGTAAAAAGCAAATGAATGACTGTTTTCAAAACTCAAATTACCAGCTAAATGAATTTATAAATTTGAATTTAAAATTTTTAACTAAAGAGGAGATATTTCAGATCAAAGTGGTCAGTAGGACAAAACGCTAATTTCATATGTAAGGAACCAATATTAATATGTTTGACATTCGGAGTTAAGACTTTCATATATTATTTAATTATTTAAGTTCACCAACAATTGATGCAACAATGCACTATATTAAGCACACATCAACTCAGATACTAATTGCACCATCGATTAAAGGTACACACCGCACGCTTCAAGTTACTAAAAAGTTACGTTGTAGTTACATAAAATACAAAGCTTAGGATAGAACAAAGTAATATTATGTGTATAAAACAATGACTTACACCTAGTTACTTAAATAATGTATCGTTTACTGTGGCTTTAAACATAGCTAGAGACATAAAATGTACATCTATTGACCCACCGCACTTATTATATAGTTAGGATATTCTCGAGACCGATGAATTGGCTCTCAGAACTGTTTTGCGAAACGGACGAAAGGTTCGTTAATATTCCGTGCACAATTTTACGAATAGTACCTGGATGACCGTGCTTTGCTCGTTTTTTTTTTTTTTGAAATTACATTTAGATACAAATTACATACTGATGAAACATGAATAATATTTTTTGATCTTATTGACATAATAGAAAAAACTGAACTGGTTATTTGAATAAAAAATCATGAGTGCAATTAATTTAATTAAAATTTTCGTATTTTAAAAAATACTAAAAAAAGGGCTCGAAATAATAAATGTTCTCACTAAAGAAGGCAACTTGAAAAAAAAAAAAAGAAAAGGAAGTCGAAACGAAGACAAGACGCGAACCAAGGCATTACGATTTCGCGACCGCTCGATATCCACTTGAGCTATTACGATCATTAACATAGTGTCAAAATTTACCTTCTTATATTGTAGCAGTTTTTCATTGCCTGAAAACACGGACAAAAAGACATTTTCTAAAAATAAATCCTAGCTAGATCGATTTACTGCCACCGAAACTCCCTGAACACTAAATTTTGTGAAAATCGTTGGAGCCATTTCCCAGATTCCGATTATATATATATATATATATATATATATATATATATATATATATACAAGAATTGCTCGTTTAAAGGTATAGGATATGCATTGTAGCATTCTGAGGCTAATTTCTTGCAACGCTCAGTCAGTAAGCGATATGATATCCTGTCATAGGGGTTACTGTAATTTTTGTACCTTAGTCTAACCCTATTTTTTTAGCAAGTGACTAATCAAGTCCTAACTGAACCAGGGAGGATATTTACTAGTATTTGGTTTGACAATACCATTATATATACATAATACATAATACCTATTACAAACTTATGAATAGCCTTGTTGAGAACATCTAAGAACTAAAAAATAATAAATAAATAAAATAATTTATTTTTTTTTCTTCACAAAAATTAAATGAATGACATAGTTGACTGGGATCTCCATTTAAGCAAGTAATGCCTGTGTTTGGAAATCCCGCTCTTCCTTATCTAAACATACATTTTTTAATTTAAAAAACCAAAAATAACAAAAACAAATTACTCGACTTTAACAACCAAAATTTACAAAAATTACAAAAGTGTGTATGTGTGCATGCGTGCGTACGAGCGCGCGCGATGTGTGAGTGTGTGTGTGTGTGTGTGTGTGTGTGTGTGTGTGTGTGTGTGTGTGTGTGTGTGTGTGTGTGTGTGTGTGTGTGGCGTGCGTGTGTGTGTGTGTGTGTGTGTGTGTGTGTGTGTGTGTGTGTGTGTGTGTTAATGAAAAATCATTTTGTTAAATTATATTGTATATAGAAGTGTATTATGAAATGCGGTACAGCAGAAATTCGGTTTCTTCATAAGTTTTCGACTGCACCCACTTAAGTATCAGGTGTTTACACTCCCTGCACGTTTTGTTGTATATGTTCAATTCTCTATTTATTTTATTGTATAGGAATGCAGAACATGAGCTAAATTGCCTACTAGCAAAAACTGTTTTGGTACCAGAAGGCTTAACCACAATATCTTTTCGCCGCTTTTTTCAAGATGCATGGGTCAAAGGACAGGGATTTTTGTGCTTTGAGGATTGTCATAGTAACATATAATAGTCTAACTGAGAGTAAACTACTTATTCTATACAGTTTTTCAGTGGAAAAACGTCTTTTTTTAAAATACATGACCTTAATAAGAGTTCGTTGGGCTCTTTCCAAGTTAAGAAATTTGGTCTTTGTAGCTCCACCCCACACCGAAATGCAATATGTTATGATAGATTGTGCAAGGGACATGTATATTTGGTTAAGAAGATATCTGGGAGAGTCCGATTGCTTAGTACTATCAGGTATTACGTGTCTTAGAGTTTTGAAAATCCAAATCAATTTTCGGGTCCTATTAATGACATGTTCAAGGTGTGGGTACCACGACAGCCTCTGATCTATAACGACGCCCAGATATTTAGTGTGAGAGACTTTTTCAATTGATGGGCAGTCACAAGCTTTGTTTTTAGCATCCTCAAAACACATATGAATTTTAAGGCAAAAGTCATTCTGTGGCTGCAAGTTGTTGGTAATGCTAAAGCAAATAAAATTTGTCTTAGCTGTATTCAAAGTGAGGAGATTTTGTTGCAACCATAGAGCGACTCGAGCTAGCCCACTTTCAGCACTAGTCTTGACAGCCTCCCAAGATTCATCAGCAAAAACCAAAGCCGTGTCATCGGCGTACGACAGGATTTTGGCATTTGGTATGGTCATACTGCACAGATCATTGACATAAATTAGAAATAAGGTCGGGCCCAGAACGCTACCCTGTGGAACGCCATATGATGACACCACCGCTTCCCCACTAATGAACCCAGGAAGCTTAACCTTCTGTTTTCTCTCCGATAGGTAGTTTTTGAAAAGAGCAAGCGGAGTCCCTCTTATTCCAATTTTTTCAAGCTTGTGCACAAGGTTAGGGACAGAGACAGTGTCGAATGCTTTCTTCAGATCAAGGAAGACCGACAAACATTTTTTGCCGTGGTCGAGTTGTTCTGTTACAAATGTGCTTAATTCAATAATTGCATCTTCTGTCGATCTTCCTTGTCTGAAGCCAAATTGTGTGGGTGCTAATATATCAAATTTATTTAAGAACAATTCAAGTTTCTTATTTACATCATTGTGCCCATAAATAAGAGACTTCCAATCAACTTCAGCTAAATAGTCATAAATAACAGCATAATCTGCTACATGGAAATTAAACCTACTCACAGTATTGGGCTGTAGCTTTGGTCTCCCAAATGGAGAGCGTTCTATAGAGAGAGCGGGTCAAGCGGACACAAAGCATCTACGGCCTCAGTAAGCACGCAAGATGGTACATTGGCCAAGACCAAACTGAGAGTTCTACCTATAGTGTTTGTTAAAGAGCTACTTTGTGTTAAATTATTTACATTGACGAAATCTATGACATTCTGGTATAGTGGCGATAAGTTAAAAGATGAATCCCTAACTAAATTCCGGTCTTAGATCGGCAAATTGAAGTCGCCATACATAAATGTGAATTAAAGAGTCCGAAAACATGATAAAAGTTATCAATAAAATGTTTTAGCATTGGCATTTGCACCGGAGGTGGCAGATATGTCGCACACAGAGCTAGTGGCTGCATACCATCAATCACAACCCAAACATCCTCACAT